CTAAATCATGTCCCTAAGCACCAGTCACATCTGCGCATCTTTTAAATACCTCCAGGTATCAAACAAATCAGCCTTCAATTCATGAACTGTGGGTGACAGTCAAGTGATGTTTAGGAATATTTATCAGGTATCTAAGGAGCTTCAAATACAGACAAGAAAGGTGAACTGGCAAGAAAGACAGTACAACATAAGTGAAAGCAAAAGCAGCAACATAATAGCAGGAGAAGGGACGTTGGTACCTATGAACATAAATTAGGAGATGGAAATTGAAGAAAACTTGTAAGAGAAATGAATGAGCACATAAAATGGCACAATTTAATCAATGGAACGAGAAAACAGAATTGTCATGCACAGTGTAAAAAGGCAGAAAACGTCAGTTAAAGGAAAGTTCTGTAGGGAAGGTCAGATGATATATGTGCACCATAGATCATAATGAGCTAATTTCAGCTCCAGCTGTGCTTAACTATTTTAGGCTGTGCCTAAATAGGGAGATTCTAAGATAAGCAAGCCTGGACAATTTGTATGCAAGAGTTTTAAAAGAGACAGCCAGAAAAGATCTGGACCAGTACTGATTATTTTTTATTAGACTCAGAAAACTGGGAAAGCATCCAAGGGTCAAAGGAATTCTGATGTTGTGCCAGTACACAGTGATCTCAATAGGCTGACTGCATTGATGCTGCTCACCGTACAGTAATGAAATTGCCAATATGCAGCTTTGATAGATTATGGATTAAAGGTAGATAATAAAATTAACCATAATCAACACAAGTTTAAGGAAAAATAGACATCATCAAACTAATGTGCTATAATTTCTTATGAGATTACAAGTCTGGTTCACACAAGTAATTATGTTGATATGGCTGGAATGGTATGAAATCATTATGACATGCATTAGCTGGAGAAAAACTGGCTAAGTAATAAACCTCACATGCAACACTAAATGGGGACTCATTTGTGAGCAGATGTACTTCTTAATGTACAATTCTTGCCACTCTGTACTTTATTTATTTAACATAACCACACATAAAACAAAAAAAACCTCACTGATGGATTTTGCAGTTGAGGCATATTTTTTGGGAGAACAGAAAAGAAATGAAGAGGAAAGTCAGTGACAGAACAGTACAAACTGCTTTGGAAATGCAAATAATATGTATTCCAGTATTCCAGCATGAACAACTGGAACCGACATATACCTGGAAACAAAGTTTGCTGTTCCTACTAATAGGAAGGGTTTTTCTCTCTTCAGAAGAGGAGACAGAAAAAAAACCAACCAATCAAGCTAGGAGTCAATGAAGAAAGCAGCTGGATGAATTGATAGGGATATGTCTCAGGGATGCCACAGAAAAGGGCAAAGACAGACAGAAATCCAACCACAGATTGTTAATTACAGCACTAAAAGCAACCATTCCCTCCATGGAATTCATGTCTCCAAGGCCAAGCAGGTTGCATGAATTTACTCCTTTCATGGGGACACTCAGGTCAGAGATATAAAGGGATGATATTTCCCTTCCTAGAGGAACAGAGGCATGATCTCCAACCACACATGAACACAACAGTCTCACAGAATGGAGCAAGTAGGAGAAATTGCTCACTCTTATCGCTGGAGAACTGCCTGGCTTAAAAAGTTGATGAGTATGAGCCCAGAAATAAGTGACTCTTCCCCTAAATTCACACACATACAGACACTGGCTGACATTTCCAACATGATTAGCTTTTGCCTTATCTCAACTTTCAAAACAGAGTAGGCTCTCAACTTTAGGAAGCTGCCCTCTGAAGTTGCCTCAGATCAAGCTCTCCAAATGCTCCCATTACTATGGGAAACAAATGACGACAGACAAGACCTAATCACAAACGCAAGAGAAGAGGGACTCCCACCAGGACAGCTGGTGACAAGCACAGTCTGCTTGAAACGTCTGGGAACTTGCAACCTCCTGTCACCAGCAAGCAGTTGGGAACTAGAGCATCCATGAGCTGAATCTGCAGCCCTGGTTGTTTGTGCACACAAAGTCATCGGCATTTGTCAACCCAAACTGCCTTGCTCAATGTTAGAAGCTCTGAGGGGAACAATGAGGGAGGGCATTGACTTATAAATGTTGGTTTGGGTTTTTTCCAATCCTTTCAGAAAAAAAACGTGTTGAAGGTGGTTGGGGGAGGGAGTGTGCGAGAGGGGAAAAAGTTCTGGTGATGTCAGCTCCTATTGCCATGGAAACTGAACATTTTTAGTGACAATGGAGTCTTCCTCCTTGAGCTGCTGGGTTGTGTGGGGAGCAGGGGCAAGCAGGGCAGGGGCACACGAGGGAATTCAGCTAACTAAAACGATAGCTTGTGGCTTTCCAAGGAAGCGACAAGAAAACTACAAGTGATTGCCTGAATTCATGGTTTATGTAACCAAAACACTGTCTGGGGCAATAGCAGCAAATAGTCATTATGCTCTTTGATGAAACATGCTGTCATGCAATTAGCCAGATGGAGATATCTCAGCTGCCCAGGAATGTCCAACACTTGCCTTGCCTGCACTTTGCTTTTCCATGCTACAGTTTATTCTTCCAACCTCTGCTGCCTTGTTGGTGTTTAATTTGAAACAGAAAATGAAAGAGAAAGGACTGGGAAGTATAGTCCTTATTCTTGAAACTGAGAGAAGCTGCACGTATTCTAGGCCAGGCATTACTTCCCAACATCACGGGTGTTTGCTTAAGAGACATGATTTGATTTTCCTTGCAGAAAATGAGAGCCCAGGACCAAAGAAAGAAGAAAGCCCTTAGAGAAAACTGATTAGCCTCTGATCTGGATCTAACTCAGTGGCATGGAGGAAATGTGCAAGTCCTTATGCAGGATGACCTCCCTAAATCAGAAGGCTTAGGCAGCATCTGCACCTGGAGTAAGCTGAAGCCATGATCCAGGTGTGGGATCGATCAGGATAAAGCTTGGAGCTGACATTTGAGGTTAAGTAAAAGCCTACGGTCTCTATGTAAGGGCAAGTTTAAGCCCTGGATTTGATTTAAACAGTTCAGACAATTTTAATGAATTTCAAAGAATAATGAATTAATAACCACAAGCTTTTATAACTCAAAATACATTATATAGTCATTAGCTCTATATAACTAAATGGAAAAATCTTTCTTTAGCAGAAGTCTTTTAAGATCAGATATTCTAATGAGATTACTATCATTTCAGCCTGACATCTCACGAGGACAATTGCATAGAAATCAGGAAACAAATTTCTTTCAGTTTTGGACGTGAAATGAAAAATCCTCCACACTGATTATTTTTTATCTAAGGAGTTGATTCTAAGTCTCCTTGACACTGAAAGGAGTTCAGATATGAGCTTTTTTTCCCCTAGTACAGCTATCAGATGCACAAAAGACTTTCTATCGCCCCTTAAATTTCTGCCAGCAATGGTGACAGAAGGAAATATTTAAATGGAGTTTGCTCCCTTCTCATCTAGGTGGTGTGCATTTCACTTATTTCCTGCATGAAGTAAGCACTGGAGCTCACCCTATTTCATTTAGCATTGCCTAACTGACTTCATCACATTTTCAGATAGCACCACTCACATGCCCTTCTTGCAGGGACACCCGGCAGAGTGAGACTCCTAGTTCCCAAGCCTTTTACCTCATATGCTGGCACTCCTGTGCCCATCTGGAGCAGAGTCTTTCTCCCAACATACCACAGCATATCACCCACGCAGAGGAGCACTGTGAGCTCTAAGGCTGCCTTTTCAAACACACCAGTTCTTCCCTTTCTTCCTCAAAGGCTGCTGTGGTAGGGTTTTGCTTTCTCTGCATCCGATCACCAGCAATTTTGCCACCAGGAGCTCAGGCAAGAACATAAAATGATCTAGCTTTTCTCAGCACCATGTGTCAAGGGCTTTAACTCACAGTCCTCATGCTGGGCCATTTTAAATCAGACGCTAATCACAGCGGGCTCAGCTACAAGAAAGGTCTTCCCGTCTCACACATGTTGCGTTAATTCGGAAAAGCCTACTACCTGTCCTCCTTTCGTGCACAGCCTGGCTAAGAATCAGCCTTCAAACTTTTACAACTGCTCTGAGTTTGAAAATCTCTGCTCCTCCCAGAAGCAAACAGTTATATGCCTCTCCAGAGGGAATGACTTTCAAGTCTTGCTGTAGAAGATCTGCATCAAAAACAAATACAAAGACAGTGCTGCTCCATACCACAGGGGAAAACTGTGCAAAGTGAGCTCAGACTCACTGCTGGCTCAGTCAGTAATACATGTACTTCCAGGCAACAGTGGATGATGGTAATTCCTTGTTGGGAAGAAGAGAAAAGTGAGGGTTTCTCTCTGAAAAGATGTTCACTTGTTTGCTGTAAGAATGGCAATATTACATATTTAGTTCTGACTTCTTATTTATCTATTATACCACAAGGCATTCTAATTGAAAATTAGAATTACAAAAAACACATGCCCATTGGTACCAGGAATGGACATTTTGCTGTGATTCAATAGACAAATCCTGGTAACCATTTCGTTTCATATATGCAGAGGGGAAAAAAATCAGAGCTTCACCATAGCAACTTTGTTGTAAAAAACACTCAAATGTCAACTTGTCCCAGTAGTACTGTGGGTAATGCTGGTGCAATACAAAGACAAAAAGCCCTGAGTAACAAAAATTACATTCCTACCTTTGAAACACTGCTGCTGGAAACACAAACACTAGCTTTAACTTGGTTCTGGTAAAGGTTACACCCCTAGTTCTCAGACATTTAAAAACAAAACAAAAACCAGAAAGGTTTCTGGGTTAGCTCTTCAGCTGGTACAAATTAACACCCTCTGCTGAAGTTATGCTAGACAGATGGCTGCACATCAGCTAAGGAGCTAAACTACCTTGTCCATAGGTACCTTCTTCCATAAACTGCTAACCCCAGCATGCCTAATCCTGTTTGGCAGATGGACTGGAGCACCACCAGAGTGGAAACTTTCCCCCCAGTTACATCATTTCTGTTCCATGCAAGACTCTAGTAAACACAGAACAAATAAATTCAGGAACTGTCACCCTCCCCAGCCATGACAATGAAGAAATCCAGGCGGTTCCAGGTATCTCCAAGGTAACACTTCTTTCCAAAGATCCCCAGGGCCACCATCTTTAAGACCATTTCCATGGCAAAGAAGATGAAGATGAAATCATCAAACACCTGACAAACAGAAACCCAGGAGCATTCTCAGCCTTGGACTTTAAAACACAGAATCTGAGATAAATACAAATTCCTGAAAATGAGCTAGAGGCTGGGCTGGAAAAGCTGCTTCCATGCATCCCTGGCATCACAAGTTCCTGCTACTCAAGTTCACAGTGGGCTTTTATAGGAGTTTTTTTCCCCGCACAAGTGAAGCAATTGATGCAGACTCAGACTCTTTACATAGACTAGAACGGAGGTGTTGGCTCAACCTGGCCAGGAACACACTGTTCTTCCAGGGTCCACCAGGAGGGACTCCTCATCATCCTGCTGCAAATGGCTCAGGTCAGGACATAGTGCAGTTTCACACACAGTTTGGACAGCACATACCAACCACAGATGGAAGTTTCAGATATCTGATGGTCTCAGCCACAACAATGCTATGGATCACAGCCTTTGCTGTCACCTTCTCTTTAGGAAAGCAGCAAGTACAGCTAGTGCATTTATAGGCTGGATGCACTCGTAGCCCTTCTAAACATTCCTGTTTTTTCTTCTCCCTTTGAGCATTCTGAATGCCACACACTACCTGTGGAATCAGCAACACTCTTGTTCCTTAGCAGAGTAGCAAATGCATTAGGGGCTGCCATTCTCTTCTGCCTGGACTCTGAAACCTTAACTATTTCTCCCTCACTTGATTCTGAGCTGTTTCCTGCAGCTGTCTATATCAGGAAACCCTTGCTTAAGTGCAGGATCAGGAAGATCAGTAACTGTTCTGTATTGCATGGTCACAAGTAGACTTCACTCATCCTCCCTCACCCTATTCCCCTCCTCAAAACAAGCTCTTTCATTTTTACAACAGGACAGCTTACTGCCAGGGCCAATCTTGCCAGCCTCTCTGGAAAGGTATTGCCCACACGCTGAAGGAAAGCATGCGTGAAAATTTGTGGCTTGGACTGAAGCACCATCACAACAAGAAGAAAGTCTGCTTACCTGCAAGATTTTACACCTGTCAGAAAGGCAGTCCATATCTTCACATGGCTGGTACATCCCCAGGGTAACGCAGTTTAGCAAAATCACCATCATGCTGACACATTCAAACCAGGTGGG